TTGTTTTATCTTCTACATGAAATTCTTTTTAATGAAAAGAGGCTCTACTAACATATGGGACTGACTACGGCTTTGGTATTTATAATATGAAATATTTGATGTTGTTTGTGGATTGTAAAATAGGCTAAAAATCGCAACTAGGGTTTGGCTGAATAACACATCCACTTAAGGTCATCTCTGGTGGACTTCGAGCATTGTTTAGTCGACTTGATCTTCTTGAGCTGATTTTGACTCCTTCCTAAGATACTTTATTTTGGACACGAAATATGTAATACACTTTAGACCTGACAGAACAAATACACTTAGGTGTCATGTCCTTCGAGAATGCACTTGGACACAGCCTACATGATCTATTTTACAGGTTTAGAAACTGATTAAGTGATTAAAACTTCGATGCTTAGCAATTTTCAAGATATGTTGTCATTCTTGATTCAAAGCATATATAGCCATTTCAAGACGGTATTCACCGCTAGCGCAACTAGCGGCACATACTAATTTTTGGAAGGGTCGATCCTCAAACAGATTGCTATAACTCAGTGCTTGAAAAATCAATTGCTAACCTCACAATGCTAATCCTGATCTTGAAATTCGACCTCAGCTACATGAAACTATGACGTATATTGCCTTAGGGTCCAAAGCAGAATCCATCCAAACAAACAATTCAAACAATGATTTGAATAGTATTTTTTGGAAAATGTGTAGCCAAAAAGTATAGAAAAATTTTAAGTTTACGTGTAGAATATTTTATTGTGTGAATATGTGATTAAAAATGAATATGAAAAATAAATTAAAGTAAATTAAATTAAATGGAATCAAATGGGGCTTAATTGTGGTGAGAAGAAAAATTTGGCATGAGTCATGTTTGGATGGAACCACTAAAAAATTGATTCTTCTTAATGTCGGAGACATTATAGAATATGGTGGGTTCAATCGATTGTAGTAAGTCTGATTACTCGGGCATGGTCGTCTGCCAAGGTATGATGGAGCTTTAGTTTGGTCGGAGAGTAGTTACTCAAGGGGTTCTTATTGACCTCGCCGATCAAATTTAATTTAGTAAAATGTTATGAATTAGCTAACCTAAGTGTCAGGTATTATCTATCAGACAATGTGTCTTCTATATCATTTTGACATCTACCTATCGATTTACATGATTTCATCTATTTCTCTCAGCTAGATGTCATTGAAAAATTCAAAATGTACACCTAATCTCTATATTATTAAATCAGTTTCCACATATTCACACGATATTAAGGCACTAACTCAAGTAACCATGCTTTAATTGAGCATGTCAACTTGATAAACAATATTAAAGTTAGCACAACTTTAATCTCTTCCCACACAAGATAAAACGATGTATATAGAACACAAACAAAGAAAAAGAATACAGATTCCATTTCTTTGCATTTCTACTTTGCCAAATTATGCTCTTATGGAGGAAAGAAAGGTAGAGAAATAAATAACAAAAAAAGGAGAAAGGCAACACGTCATCACGTGAAAGTCACGTGAAGATTCTTATTCCTTTTCTGAGAGAATAAGATTATCTCAAAAAACCCAAATGCTAGATAATCAGCATGTCCACAACATATTCATTCCCTTATGGACCAACTTCACCTCACCGGGATAGAGCTCGCCGGAGTTCTTGGGCCAACAAATTTGGTGCACTCAGGTGTGGCAAATGCCCCTCCACGTTCAACATGTGCACCGTGCTCCGCCCCCCGAGGTGGTTCTTCAGGTACACCGCCACCGACATTGGGACGGAGACATCCTCGATGGTTTGAATTATCGAACATGGCACTTTTACTAGGCCTAGAACACCTCTTAGATCACTGTTAAATGCAGTGCGAGATACGAATAACGATATGTCTGGTCTCATATTGAACAAAGTACGGCTAAATTCTTGAACTGCCACCGGAACATCCGCCCCCACCGCCAGCGGTGCAAAGCCGTTGACCCACGCCTCGTAATTGGCCTCCATTGCAGATAATACCTCCTCAATTTCACCGTATTCAAATCCACCGTGGTAGTCCATGTCATTCAAGAACCTGAAAAATACGCTGGTAAAAGTCTTGAATATAAAATTGAGGATTAAGTCCGATCAATTTCGTCAAATAGTCATGAATTCCATGTTGAAAACTGTGGCATACACTTCATGGGGATTGAATTAAAACAAGAAAAAGACACAAAGATTCCCATTTGTGGTCCAACATTAATGAAAACACGTGCATCCAGATATGAAG